TAACTTCCGCCACCAACCACGGGAGAGACGCTCCACGTCAAGCAGGGAGAGGAGTTGGAAGAAATATAAAATGAAACAGAGAGACGAGCACCTGCACATCAATCCCCTTCACTTACTTGGAGGCGGAGGAGGAGGCGCTGATTTTCCAGAGCTTGTAATGATGATGCAGAGGAGAAAGGAGAGTCTGCAGGGCTGATCATCTCCTTTGTCGAAGGAGGAAAGTGACTGAGGCAGGATGAGCAAGTACGTATGCACATACGAGGGGCCATATAAGCGATGATTGATATGAGACGGACGGACGGACGGATGGGCGGGTGAGGAGCGAGTCTACTCAAAATGTATACATTCTCAGCCCCAGATATCTGGAGGATGATGACGACGGGGTTAAGGCGTGTTCTGATTTCAAGATGTCGTATTACAAGCGACAACCCGACTTCCTGTCTCTCCCTAATCTTCATCGTCTTGAGATTTTTCCCGATTTTTATCAAATTAAACTTCACCTGGGTGAACACATGTCAGTCAGTCGGAGAGAGGAGGGGAGGGAGGAGAAAAAACTCATTGACTTTCTCCAGCGAAAAGTTTCAGCACAATTACCTTCGCCAAATTAATTTGTATTAATGAGTTTAGCATATTGGACTAAAAATTAGGTTTGCCCCCTCAAACTGATTGAACTTTGGAGCTGACGATGAAATTACGCTCTTCTCGCTCCTTGGTTCGAGAGAGGGTGAAAGTTTTGGGAGCACTTTGTGAATGCAGTGGAAGAGGTAGTCATATGTATGATTCTTTATTTTGGTGAATTCTTTCCCAAACAAAATTACCATCCTCATCCTTTGAGAAGTATCATGAATCATGGCGTGGCGGCGTGGGTGATGGGTTGAACTCCGACGGACCTTGTTGTGGATAAACAGAGGAGCGGAGAGAGAAAGCTGTTCAGAGTTCAGAGGGAGAAAAGATAAAGAGTTGAAATGAATTGAATTCGACTGCTTTCACTCCACTTCTACTTTTGCCTACGTTTTGAATCGAGGTTTGGATCGAAGCCAGCCAAATAAATGGAGATCCACTCACTCACTCAGCCAGCCAGCCAGCCAGCCTCCCTTTGAAGTAGTGCCCACAGTTGGCAGAGTGGAGCATTTGGGAGGCGGTCGTGGTTGTGGTCGTCGGCTGTGGCTGAAATCTTAAGCAGGAAAAAGAAGCCTGCTTTCCAGCAAGAAACCACCGTCGTCATTCATTATACAGTGGCATCTAAATTTTTCAACTGCTCAGCCACTAACTGGGCCACTTACACTCCACTTCATAACTTATACAGGCCTCAAATTAAATGCGCGATTTTCATATCAAGTCGGGGATGATGAGGTTAAATATGAGCGACTGCGAGGAGGAGGAAGGTGCACCATTTTGTTTCTCTTTAAGTGAAAGCTTTATAGTTTTATGGGTCAAACATTGAGAATTCCGCTTTCTCGCACTTTCTCCTCTCACTCCTCCGACCACTCTGCCTCCGGAGAGCAATTAAGCATTCTAATGAATACTAAGTTCAAGTCCGCCTCAACTCATCATGATTTACGAGGCGAGAGGGACCTTGGAGGCCGGAGCTTTCCAACACCCGCACAAAATAGGCAGCAATTACTGGTTTTCTCCTCCTCAACACAACAACAGCCTGGGCTTCACACACCCTGATGATGGCGTAGACCTGATGATAACTTATGGCTCGTCCTTATGTATTACTCAGCAGCTTCTAAATATCTACGCCAGGTTCATCAAAAAGAGCCCATTTTCTCAAGTAGTGAGACATTAACTGCAACTTGTGCAACAAAATATCCAATGGAATGACCCTCCTCAACAGGTACAACTTTCACCGTGGACTCTGTTCAATTTGCAGAGAAAATAAGGCTGTTAGATAAATTTCTATCAAAATTTAATTTATTTCTTCCCAGAAAACCTAAGTCTTGATTTCTCGTGGTGACTCTTAACCACAACATTAAAAGTGAAAGTCTAGCTTGTATTAAAGGAGTGGTCGGTGACTGAGTGTGTCCTTCGCAAGTACCTCGTGCCGTATCTAGTGAGCTAATGGCGAGATGACGATGATGACTGTGCCAAAGATACATAGTTGCGATGCATGTTTAGTAAAAGTGAAAGTCGTCCTGTGATGCATGTGCTCGTCTAGCCGGATGGTGCGGGTCTGTGGTGGGTGGGGTGGAGTGGGTAACTTTGCTTTGAGCCGGTGTCTCCTTAGTTGAGTGGAACATTACGAGTAATTATTCCAATTAGGACACGCCTCGATGGAAATATGCAGCTGCTCCGCCTACTTAATCAACTCTCATATTTTCATATCCTGCTGGCTGACACAGCATTTGCAACAAACACACAAGTTCCATGCATCATCTGCACAAGAGGCGCAGGATGCTTTCTCCCCGATAAGATAAGATGCAGCGTGGATGGGAGTCAGATGTGCATGCTGGAGACTCGTTAGTATTAAAAAATACTCGTCGTACCACATTTCTCATTAGGCCAGTGGAGAGATATCTGTGTTTGTGCGTTGGCCAAATTGTAGTGCATGCATGAACACTGTTTCGTCGGATGGAGAAACCAGTGCAGTGCAGCAGCAGTGGGAGAATCAAATTTAGATTTGCATAGGCATACAGTAGTCTCACTTTCATCAACAATTCAAGTCTCAAGTTGTCATAAAAGCCAAACCGCACTGCACCACCACGGACTCTGAGCTACTAATCCTAAGACTACAGGAACCTAGCTCCAACTAACCAAAGTCGTAAACCAAGGTGCGCTTGGTCACCAATTTGATTACACCCACATTAATTTGAAGGCCAAAGCTAGAAGTTGGAATTACGTAGGTTGTGTATGCAGTAAATGTACAACAGTAATGCATAGTAAAATGTATGAAATATACGATATACGTATGCATATGTACATATGTAGCTGCACATAAAAGTATCAGGTAAGATTTGGGTGGGAATATGAGCCAGAATTTCAGTGTCTATTTGGCGACTTTTTTCGTCCCCTTGAAATGATGAAGAAAGGAATGGATTGATTTTGCTCAGACCTGTTGCAGAAGTGTCGCGCGGTTCGACTTCCAAGTCCTTCTTGGCAATGAGGTAAGTCATCCGATCCTGACACTCCTCCTCCGTCTCGAACACGAACATGGTCTCTCCTGGACAGCCTGCCCTGGAGGAACAGATGCAGTCCCCCTCACGACTGATGACGCAGCCAAACCTGACCTCCACGTGACCTCCACAACCGCCCTCGTCCCCTGAAATATCCCATTTCGATAAATAAGCTATATTTTAGTGTAATAAATAGGCGAATGCTTACGAGAGCAGCGTCCCTCTGCATCCGTAGCGTTGGTCCTCATTGAGGGCACATTGTCATCCTCAGGCTTGCAGTGCAGCCCGACTGCACAGTTTCCTACGGCTCCTCCACAGGGCTCACCTTCCCCCCTGGCGCATACGAGGCAACATCGACACACGTCGAAGGTGAGACCAAAGGGACAGTCCAGTCCTCGAACGTGCTCGCAACCACCGTCACAAACACAAGTCACGCTCTCATCCTCAGAGTTCGGGGTGGGAGGCATTGTACTTGTGACGCCTTTCGGAGGCAATCGTCTCACCAAAACGCTCTGTCCCCCCACAAGGACGACACAGATGAGAAATACGGCCAACGGGTTGATCAACATGGTGGATGAAGAAAGGAAGCCGAAGCGTGTGGGCAAATTGATTCGTCTCATCTTTCTCAATGTCTCAAGAAACCAAATTCTCGCTACAAAACTTGCACCTTTGCTTTTCCTTTAGCTTCAAATCGTGTCTAATTTGTTTTGTATGCACTTTTATGTTCACTTGCTAGATGATACTAACTTTGCCTCCTCCCCATGAAAAGGAGTACGAAAGGTGGATCTTTGGGAGTGAGTATATACACACCGGAAAACAAGTTTTAAAGGGTTCGTCTGCAATTACCCAAATCCTGCAAACTCGGCGTTGCTCAACGTGTTAATCCATTCTACCGTTGAGTCCGAACAATTGTTGTGACTGATGATGAGGGCCGGACGGAGAGGAGGAGAGAGAGACGGGCTGAGCATAGCAGAACCATGTAGGACTCGTGGCTGGTGAAAGTTGAAGTGCACGGAAGAAAGTTGGAGCAGAACTGAGCGAGTTGGGAGAAAGTTCTCAGCTTTTCCCTTCTCTCCACCGACGGATGCCACACCACGGCTGATGATCAACCAGAGGGAAGCAGAGCCAGCGAGGAGCTCACTTGTCTCAAACCTGGAAGCAAAAGTGAAAGGCGAGGAGAAGTGGATTATTCGAACCAAACGTTCTTCCATACATGCTCCTTCAACATTGGCCGTTCGAACCAAAGTCAGTTTAGGGCCGGAAATGTATCTGCTATTATATATTCATATTGTGAAGGCAAATGTCACTTTAGCCGTGGATGGGCGAGGGGGATGAGGAGATGGTGGACCAGAAGCCATAGTCTTGGTGCAGGAAGCAGAATGAATTGTCTGCATGTTGTTTCTGGATTGTGAGATTGGAGGAATCAAGTACTATCAAGGGAGACGGGTGGATAGAATTGGACTAAAAGTTCAACAGCGTAATTTTATAAAGCGTACGCCTCTCGGAGGACCCATCTTGGAGGAGAGTCTACGATCAGTCGAACATATTATCGTCGTCGTCTGTATGTATGGCAAGTTATACTAGATTTGTATGTACGTTCGTGGATCAAGTCTCCATCCACGTTGAATCAAATGGTTTGGGACCCACAAAATTCCTAATGTTGCTACCTCTACTTTGTATGTAGACGTAGTCCAAGGTTTGGTTGAGGACGACCGCGTCCTTCTGTGCACCACTTGCAGCATTATGTTATGGGATGCCGATAAAGAAAGAAGTGTCGCAGGTTTTGCTGACATTTCAGGAATTGTTATTACCTTCACGCGAAACATGGCCAGGTTGGGAATGGCCAAGGATGGAGTAATTTATCAAAACATCACTGGGGGCTCATTCTCATTTACATTGCGGAACCTTTTTTATTTATTTAGTCAGCAACGGCAAACTGAATTCGCATTAACATTCAGTTTAGTGGGACGTATATTTGGTAGTTAATACTACAACACATACATTTTACATACATTTGTACATACGAATACAAACAAGGAATAACCTAAAGAAAGCTACACTTCTAGTTTCAGTCGGAGAACATTGATACGTACACATGTCAACTTAAACAGAGTAGCAGAGAACTATAAGAAATACATACGTATATGTATTCGTATGGGAGTTTATTACATTGTAATTTTTTTAGCAACGTACACATGTAAATAGGAATGTTTTCTCACAAAATAATGGAACTTTCTTATAACACCCCAATGTAACAAGTTGTATTAAATATAGGACAAGCATGCAGCAGCACCATTACTTGATACATTGATATTTTGATTCATGACAAATCGCCTTCACACACTTGGATATTCATAAAATTGAAAAGTAACAAATCTTTGTCTGGGTCCTTGAGTCTACGACAATGGCTACGAAATACAAATGTGTAGAAAAAGATTGATGGCGATTCAGATTTGCTCAATATCAGATCCGACTTTGTGTTTTTTTCTAACTCGGGTTGTCGCAATAAGGAGCAGGGAGAGATGCATTGTAATGTTGTTAATATGTAGGAGCTAACCTACAACGAGTAGTAAATACATACATGTCCGGATAAGTAATGGTGATGGAAAGTATTGTACCTCATACATAATTCATTTCTCCTTGCTCCTCAGCTAAACTGACTGTATAAATAACATTGAACATTGAAAATCTGACTTGATATGCGGGATAAGAAAAAGTAAAATATTTCGAAAGACGACTCATGAATATTTTCTCTGTCCCTCCTGCTTTCCTCCTTCCTTCCTCTTTCCCTCGTCCGCTCTCAGCTCACTTATTTCTCTCTCAGAGCTCCTCTTTCAAGGATTGTAAAGCCCCGGTTAACACTTGTATCTGAGCCTGCAAAAACCAACAACAAAAAGAGGCGAATAATATGAGCGAAAACTTTTGCACACAATCTCATCAGCAAACTGAAACTGAGAGTTCAAGTGAATTAGCATAGTACTGACCTTGGCATGCTTGATTTCTAACTCGGTGACCTGCAAGTAAAATTTTAATTAATTCTCATTTAAATTGCACTTTCTAACCAATTAATCACTCAATTGTATTATTGTATAGGGAGAAGAATAAAAATCTCGTGTTGCAGCATTGGGGGGCTGGTTGTAACAGTTAAAGGACCAGTAGAAGGAGACGAGAAGAAAGAGTTGAGACAAGCCCAACATAAACAATTATTAACCCTTTAATTCAGTGCGTATTGATTTCAGAAGCATGGAGAAAATAAAGACATAAAATGCAAACTAAAATTCTTAAATTTATTACTTACCTCAATCAAATTCTTTCGGAAGGCAACCACTCGTCGGTTTTTGAAGTCCGTCAGCTCTTCTTTTGCCTTTGTAGAAATTGCTTCAAACTTATCGCATGCCTCTTGTTGTGCTTGCTCCGCCTACAAGTGAGAAGAAACGTTGGAGAAAATTATTACTTTCTCTCTCCCTCATCGCACAGCAGTTAGTTTGCCTGATTACTTTCCACTACATTTAAGGACACAAACCACAACACAACCAGCAAAAGTAACGTAAGAGGAAGAAGAAGTCGACAACAATTTGCTCAGAGTTTGAATAGTTCACAGTAATTCCAATGTGGAGGCATACCATCAAAACCAAAATAAATTGGTTCAGAGGTTGTTACATGCAAATTGTAAAGCAATTTTGTACAATTTACGTAAAACAGAAAATTAAGAAATATACAGCAGCATGTGAATCAACTTCAATTTCTTTGGATATTCCTCAAAGGCCATCAGATCCCGTGTGTGTGAGAGAGAGAGAGGTCTGCGCTGTGAGTCTGCATTACCATCGCCGTATACAAGCTCAAGATGAGGAGGAAATAAGCATAACGGGGAGTGGAACCGATAACCAGAAATTGAAGGCATGAACATGAAAAATATAAAATAAAACTTAATTTGCCCCATTTGACTGGGTAAACAGAGTGGACTAAAGTACCCACAAGTCACAAGTACAGGCCATACACAAAGTAGTAAATAAGTAGAACGAGAATGCAACACTTTGGACAAACTTACATCCACCACCTCCATAGTCTGGTTGCATGTAAAGCACCCATAAAATTTGAATTGATAGGAATGAACTCGGCATAATATTTTGGAAGATGTCGAGATATTAAAAATAGTATAGGCACATGAGTGGGGAAAGTGTGTCAACGATAAGGAACGGATGAAAGATAAAATTTATTCTCCTTCTAATGTTGTAATGGAAATAATGGAAGGAAAAGGGTCGACTTACGGCTCCTACTTCACGATTTTTTGCACGAGCTTTGTCCAAATTTTTATTTGCTGTTTCGTAATTTGCTGAAAAGATAAAAACAGTTAGACAGATGGAACTTATGAAAAACGTGAACAAGTTTGTGGAGTAAAATGGGGAGCAATATATATATACCCAAACAACGACGACGACGATAAAGTAAATTTTTGGCTGCATTGGAATCTCTCATGTAATAACGGAGCGTGTCTGACAACTTCAAATCTTCATCGGACGCAACTCGATTCTCAACTTTCTGCAATATTCGCAATAACACGGAGCATCATTAGGAGGAGAAAGAGCGAGTAAAAAAGTAGAACAACCCAATAATTAATGATAACTCATAATGGTCTAGTCTCAAACAAGTTTCATAATTATTTTAGGGAATTTTCCTTCTATAGTGTACGTACACAGTCCGCTTATTGACAACCTCCGTCAATACAAATAACTCTCCAGTAAGCAATAATCGGAAGACATACATGTAGCGAAATATGTACTATGGCTTACCCTGGCTTTCTCTAGTGCATCGGCAACTTTTGCAAGAAACTTTTCAAGTTCATTAGTGTCAATGGTAGCGAGCTGAATCAACTCGGATGATATTTTAATGTATGAGTCTGAGACGTTTTTGTGAGCCTTAATCATCCTGTCCGACTTTGCAGTTGCATCCTTTAAAAATAATGAGAATTATTATTATTAGCATTGTCCAAGTGTTAAACTCAACTTACAGTACCTTTAAATGAGCATGATAGTCCATTAAGAAAATTCTCTCCGCGTCGAAAAACTCGTCAACATCCTTCTGAGTCGCGGAAAGAAGAAATTCGTCTGAAAATTGCGAATTGTATAGTAATACATTTAATCTATATTTTAATCGTGAAGACTGAGGGAGATCGAATTAAGGAATGGGATGTGCAGAAATTGTTGGGCACAATTGAAACCCATTGTTTGATTTTAATCGAAATGATCAGCACTATTCCGTGTTCATTAAATATCAAATGCATGCACAGGGGAAAGCAAACAATTCTGCCTTCTCCAATTCTCTCATTTCTCTCCCCATCATATCTAACATAACCAACCAGTTGTCTGTCCAAAGTGTTTAATTAGTCCTCCGAACATTTCTTTCTTGTTCTTTCCTCGCACGCTCAACTGTTTCGAGGAAAACAAAAGAAAGTACCATCATCATCATTATTATTATTACTTTTTGTTTCATCTTTCCGTCTTGGGAAAATATCAAATTATTTATTGCCGGCCATACCTCTCCATCGTAATTTAGAAACACTTGGAAATTATGGTCGTTCCTAAACACAGGATGGTTAGCCAGTCGACAAAGAAATACTTCGTGCATTGCGACAGTCTTCTTAAATGTTGCCAGATACTCTCTGCATCAGATTTAATTAATTTAATTAATAACGACAAAACAGCCACAATAATAAAAGCCAACGCCAACTTGACTACTTGTGTATAAAAACCCTTACGCTTCTAATTCTTGTTTCATCTTGGTAAACTCTTCCTTGGTCATTGTGCCTTCGCCTTCTCCAAGTTTTTGCAATTTTTCTCGTGAGGCATCAAAATCAGGTCGTGGTGGTGCAGGAGGAATCTGTAAACAAAATGTATAGTAGTTAGCAACACGAGAGGTAGTTATATAGTGGCACACTAAATAGTACACATTCTACAAAAACAATGACTTACGATGAATCCAGCGTATTCCTCATTCTCTTCAAACCTATCATGAAGCCAGACAAACTCTTCATGTTGTCGCACGACCGAAAATTCCTGCTTCTCAAATTCTGGAAGTGTTGTCTGTAATTAATCAGTTTAATTTTAAATCTGCTCTCTAGAATTCTAGTTTGAATTCCGTAAGTAGCTGATGCTGACCTTAGTGTGGACGGTGAACTTGACTTTATCCCTCTCGCTTAATGCGTCCGAAATGTCGACCACCAAGGAGTTTTCCTGCTGCTCCGCTGTCGTCTCTGGTCGGCCCGGCTTGTATTCACAAGAAATTCGGTAATAATATCGGTCCATGAGATAGAGAGCGTTTAGGTAGGGGCAAGTAAGGCAGAGAGTAGTAGCAAAGCGACATTCGACAGCTAGACAAACAAGATCTGCCCCTATTCAGCAGTTAGAGAAGAGGAGGCAGAGCCATTCGACAAGGACAGGCAGCGAGATGGGAGTGGCTGACATTCACAGTGTCGACTAGTACAGTAATTAGTAGTTTCTATGATTGACAGAGATTGAGGAAGTGAAAGTGAAACCTTGTTGTCAGAGTCTGTGGTCTCCAGAAGCTCGGGCCCTCGGTTAAAAGCATTCTGCAACATTTTTTTTTAGCTAACACCACCCACCCGGAATTCGCTTCAGTGAGAGATGAGGAGACAAAGAGGAGGAGAGCAGCACAAAGATCACAAAATTCAATGTTTTATCACGTGTTTATAAAATTGTATGCAAATGAATTGATTGGGTACAACAGGACACGATTATTAACTCAGAAACTAGGATGATTTTGATGTAACTGTATATATATATCAATCAGCTGAATGCTGACGGTAATGATAATTTATGTATAAAAAGAATTATTAAATTGATTGCTGTAAAAATTGGTAATTTGCCCATAAGCAGACTTTGATCTCAGTTTTCAATGTAGAAATTCAACTATTATAATGAAGCAATATTTCCACTGCACAGTGTACACTATGTAAATTATATTGTTAGTCCTCCAGTAATGAATGATTGCATGTTATTATTAGAAACACGGAATGAAAAGAAGGACAGCACAGAGTTTTAACTATCAAACTATCCTATGAATATGAGCCATTAAAAAAAGTTAACAGTACAACAACACACTGACAATTAATCCTTATCATCTTTCCATGGCCATGTAACCTCTCCTCGCCTATCATATTCCTCGCAGTGCATGCACACCAAATTACAAACTGAACAAAATGCTCTAATTTGTCCAATACGAAATCCACCCCTTTATTTTCATTGGAACAACAATAACAGTTCAACTCGGCTTATTTAGCCGAACATCCGTCGTAACTAATCCCGTTCGTTTCATAACGCTGCTAAAATTTGGCCACATCATGTCCCATGAAATTCAACGCTTATTTTATTTCCAGATTTGCTACCCATTCAACACTAATATTTAGAGTGAAGCCGAAAGCTACCAAACTCTGACAATTATGGAAACATGATGGCGTGGAGTGGATGACACTAAGTAAACATTGCAGGAAATGCATTGTGGAATTTGAAACTATTTTTTAATTGATGTCATAATACAGTTCAAATAAAGTTTGGTATTACGTTTAAAATCTCAACCTCTTGAGCACACTTTCACACTTTTCAGAAAATGGCAAATACTAATGAGCAAAGAATTAATGTATCATCAGCAAGACCAACATCAAAGAAACTTTAAACTTGAAATAGAAAATTTTAGTGCTAAATTTTAATCAATAAAATCAACACTCAAGTCAGAAATGAAGGAAAATCTCGGAAGTGAAAATTAATTAAACTAAAACCATAAAATTCTTACCATCATCTTGTTATCCGGACTCCAATTTTGATAAGCTATTAGCCAAGCTCAATAGTTCAAGTAACAATCACCGATTTTTCACAATACAATCCACAACAACACTAAAATAAATTACGAATAAGATTGGGTTGACTCTACCCAATGCAATGCAAGAAATTAGTCACCTGCACTAAGGGCAACAGGCTTTCTAAATCTGTTCAGCGGAGGGGCGGGTGTAACCACAATTAGTGAAGCCAATTAAAATGTCACCAATAATCTGATGTGGACTGTCAAAAACTAAATCTAAAACTAAATCTGAACGGGACGGGCGAGGAGACTTGAATCCGACTGCCCCGTCCAAAACTCGCTCGCTTCCGTCCAACTTTCACCCTGTCGCCATGCTCTGCATGTGCTGAAACACAAAAAAATAAATAAAACGTTCCTTTGTGTTTGAAGTTGAAACTATAATTTAACTGAACGAGATAATTAATTACTAACGCAAGTAAGCAGCTTTCAGCAACAATCTGTCATACTTTATTACTCACAAAAACTCTCAAGCAGTATCAAATCAATCTGTAGCTGTGCAATTTTCTGTCACTGGCTGAACTTCAAAAGCTTCATATATTTTCACACTCCCCACGACAGCAGTGTGAAAGGGGTCGGACTGAAAGGGCAGTTGGTTACTCCTGAGGTACACCACTAATTTAATTGGTTCTATTAATTAATTTTCATTTCTAAGTTGCACTGAGTTTTGAACGTTTCGTTTTGTTCTTATCAGCGAGAATTGGAGTTTGGTTTGCTATTCCTCTTCTCGTTGGTCGACATAGTCGACATTCTTATTGTTATTGCAATGTAAATTATTTTTTGTATTGACTCTTTCCCGCAGCCAGCAGGCTCGTTCCTGGGGGATGGACACTGTTCGTATAAAAGAGGAACCAATTGATTACGATGAGGCGGCTTCGTCACATACATCGTCAAAAAGAAAGCGCCGGAAGCGGCGTCGTGAGGAGGAAGAAGAACCTACGTCCGAACCAACTACCATTAAGATAAAGAAAGAAAAAGACTTATTTGAACCGCCGGAAGATGAGGATTCCTCTCACACTGTATTCGCTGAGACCCGGGGGGATCGGGAACTGACAGACCAGGCCCCACCCTCGATACGGGTTGACGCTGATGAACTACCGGGGCCGTCGTCGTCGGTTCCAAATGGCTCAAGTTCGGCTGCTAGTCCTTCTGCTTCTGCCACCGAGAACTCAATTCCAGAGTGGTTACCAGAACCCGATCCAGTCCCACTCACCAACTTTTTCGAATTCTCCTCCGCACCAATTCCCACCTTGGAAAATACCGTGCTGGAGAATAAACTAAAGGAAAATAAACTGGGACCTGAACCCAAGATTCCTAAAGTTGCACATTATAATGCACACGACGAAGTTGATGAAAAGAAGTACATTGTAGAGAACGAGGCTACAAATAGCAAGCTCATTAAGGACCACAATAGAATAGTGAGTTAATTTATTTAATAATATGTCGTAGTTTAAATCCATTGTGTCCTGACATTTGTTTAAAAGGAAGCTGCAAAAGATGAAGAAGACGATGAAGCAGATACCAATTACGACACTTATGAAAGCAGTTTGGACCCCAATGGTCCACCCAGACGAGAGAAAGTTTATGTCAAATATAACTTTAAGGATCGTCACATAAATACCTCTCGACTTGCCGTATTTACCGCAAAAGAGAAGGTTAGTTTTTAGTATACAATATATATAAATCTATATAAATCTTGTCTTGAATATATATAAATCTTGTCTGTTGACTTGTTTGCATTATGGATTTTAATATTCTTTTCACATTAAATGCTAGATTTTAAAAGCAATTGAGAATCATCGAGTCGTCATTGTCGATGGATTTACAGGATGTGGGAAAACTACACAGGTTCGAATAAGCACTGTTTCTAAATATCCATAATAATGTTTAGACAATTAAATATATAAAATTAGAATTAGAGTTATATATATAATTATGTGACATTGTGTCAATTTGATATCAAGTGAATGTGTTTACACTTACAGGTCCCACAATTCATCCTTGACCAACATTTTGCAAACGACAAAGTTTGTAATATAGTTGTAACACAGCCGAGAAAAATTGCTGCAATTTCTGTTGCAAAGCGTGTCTGCGATGAGCGTAATTGGAAGTTAGGCCAGGTGGTTGGTTATCAGGTACTGCAAAAACTGCGTCAACTAAATAATAACAACCTGTGTGCTATTTACATATTACTTACGCGGGGTTTATCTTAATTGTCATGTAGGTTGGAATGGAGACCAAGCGGGACAGAAATGACACACTGTTGACGTACATGACCACCGGCGTTCTCCTTCAAAAATTAATTGCTACAAAAAGTTTCCAAAGTTTGACGCACATTATAATCGACGAAGTTCACGAGCGTGACTTGGAATCTGATCTTTTGCTTCTCGTAATTAAAAAGATTTTGCAAGATGATGTCGAGGGCAAGCATCGACACGTCAAATTTGTTCTCATGTCTGCAACTCTCAACTCCAAAAAGTTCTCACGGTATTTTCCAATGCGAACGGGTGAATCCGAAATGGAAGAGTCCCCCGTTATCAAAATTCCTCATTCATTTCGACATAGAGTGGACGAAGAGTTTGTGGACAATATGTTGGCGTCAAGCGTAAGTCATTACTTTGGTTATAATTTTACTCCTTGCATATATATTTCTTAAATAAATTGTGCACGAGGTAAATTTTGTTTAATCTTATTGTTCTTATTGGTTGACATTACAGAGAGACTTGTTGGATATCGTCGAGTCAAACTTGAACATGGAGAAGGCCACCATTCCTGAAGAAATGTACACGGTGGCAGTGGACTGTATCATTAGTTTGGACGAACATGATCGAAAACTGGCAACTGATCCCAGGGTCCGGTCATCCAAACAAACTTCAAATTCTCGAGTTAGTTTCAACCTTAATTTTTGCTACAGCATGTAGAATATTTTAACATTGACAAAAATCATAGGTTGAGAAGAGAGGATCCGTTTTGGTATTTCTGCCCGGAATGGAAGAAATCAATCGACTCTATCGTTCTTTGACTTCAAAAAACCAAATTGATTTAGAAGAGTCAGTTCGTTTAACATATTTTTTCTTCGGACAGTCTTTATTTATAGAATATAATTAATTAATGTTTCTAAAGTGTTTTTTACTTGTCACAACAGTGCTGTCAAGGACGATCCTAACTTTAGAGAGTACGACTTCCATCAGTGGGACGTTGTACCACTGCATTCAACAATTACCTCGGACGAGCAGCAAAGAGTATTTGACAAACCTCGTCCATTCCATCGGAAAATTATATTATCCACTAACATTGCTGAGAGCTCGGTGAGTTACATTTTTAAGGGACTTTTGCTACCAACTGTGTAAAGTATGTACATTTATGCTAATTTACTTGTATAGGTGACTGTTCCAGACGTCATGTATGGTAAGCCCCTAACGTGTTATTGACCCGCCATTGTTTTGTGAATATAATCAACAATTTTATTTGTAAATTTTCACCTCTAGTGATTGATTTCTGTCTTACAAAATCCCTTTGTATTGATCCCTACACGAATTTTACCACATTGAGAATGGTGTGGGCATCAATCAGTCAGTGTATTCAAAGGAAAGGACGAACAGGTCGAGTTTGCGACGGGAAAGTCTTCCGACTGGTTACAAAGTCTTTTTTTGGGGTACAACAAGCAGTTCAATAACAATATATATATTGTATCATTTATTATTATTGCAAAATGTAATCAACTCCACATAACAATGTGCAACATTTTTTTTTATACAGAAATTACCTCAAGATACGAAACCGGAAATGCTGAGATCTAATTTGGAGACCGTGGTACTCCAGTTGAAGAAACTAAACTTGGGGACGCCGAAAGAATTGCTGTCAATGGCCCTCGACCCCCCGGTCGTTTCTGGTATTGAACGAGCCGTTGCAAACCTTAAAGAGGTGAATGATTAATATTGATATCTATTGTTGGAGACTTGAAGTATATTAATAATTTGATTGGAACTTAGCTTGGTGCACTCACAATTCTGACCACACGCTATCCTGGGGGAGTTCAATATGACACGTGTGATGGGGATCTGACTTTCTTGGGCTCAATCATGACAGACTTGCCAATCCCTCAGCAGTGCGCGAGACTTATAATGCTGGGTCATTGTTTTGGAGTCATGAAGGAAGCAATCATTATTGGTAACATAACTCACAACACAAGTCTGTTAGAGTTTTGGTTATGTTTTGCTGACCTTATTTATTTGTTTCTTTGATTAAATGATTAGCATCCGCCTTGAGCGTGAAGAATCCATTCAGCACTCCTTTTGTTCGTTCCCTTGATGCGTATTTGTCCAGACTAAGTTGGTCTAAAAAGAGTTGTTCCGACTTGTTTGCACTTTACTATGTTTATAAGGTACAACTATTTTAATTACTTATTTACAACATTATTACTTATTTAAATTATAATTCCTGGATGATTAAAATTTTTTAGCATTGGATTAAGCAATTCTCTGATATCGGAGACTCTACCGATCTTGACGACAAAAAAAGAAATCGCACAACGTACAACGAAAGGCAATGGGCTCGTGGTGCCTTTGTACAACTCTCTGTACTCAGGTTCGTTTTGAATATAAAATAAACTCATTGCATGCTCATCCTAGTTGTATGTTATAACAATTAAATTGTGTAAATTGTATTCTGATATTTTAGGGAGATCAAATCTACTGTGGAGTTGATTGAGGAAAGATTGGCAAGACACGGTCCCCATATTGCACCAAACCCATTCCATGCCGAAACTCCATCGGGTGATTTGGGAAAGGATGCAGGAATTATGCTGAAGGTTTGTTCCTAATTTTATTCAGATAAATACTTTATTGATTTTGCCGCTCGTACTATTTTTTAATGAATGCGATGAAATTATTTCCAGTTGGCTATTGCTGGTGCGTTTTATCCTAATTATTTCCATCGCCGCCGACCTGACGTGAAAACATACGAGCGTGACAAGTCTAGAGAAATCAGTGGACTAGATCTGTATAACACAGTCTACTTTAAAGGATTTCCTGCTGGACACGATGGAAAAATGTAATTTAATTTTTACCCATATCATTGCTGCACATACATATTTATTTAATATGTAAAATTAAATACTGCTGTTCTTCAATTTGGTTACAGCTATGCCAAGTTCGTTGCAGACTATTTATCTTTCGGGTTGAATGTGCCTTCCATTAAGTTTGACGGCCAGAAAGTGCTTGCGACTTTTGACAACCGTGGGGAAAAAATCGGACCCATCAACAAGGGAATCTATCGGGCTGTCAAGAGGAGGCAAATCCGTGACATGTTGGAAATATCTTTAACTTCGTAAGTTAAATTTTGAACTAGGTTTTTGCTAGCAGTAAAATTCAGCACAACTTTGTTTCTTCCTTCCATACGTGTAGACGGGATTGTGAAAAGAGGATTTTGGAGGAATGGGATTCCAGATTGGATAGACGAAGATTTATGCGATGTGTACCACAGGTCACCTTACCTGGCGTTGACGTGTCCAAAGTTTATGTCCGTGTCACCCACGTAAGTAAAAGTACAATCAACCATTACGGAAATTGAGTTTTGATCCATTAGTAAAGTTATGGTTAAATCTGCACAGGTGGAAAATCCAGGTCAATTCTGGATTAACTATTCATCTCACACAAAAGCACTGGATGAGATGGTTGACCGAATTAACGAAGGATTGGTTCACGTACCCATTCATAGCAGCAAAGTTGTCCCAAATGCGATGTGCATTGCTCCATATCAAGGACGTTATTATCGTGCTAAGATCGTTCTTGTTGTTCCATATCCAATAGATGATTCCCTGGTTTGTTTCAACACTGACGACTATGTGACTTATAATTACAAGTGTATGACCAATTTCCCTTTAAATTGCAGGTGTATTTTATTGATTATGGAAACACTGCTTGGGTAAAGAATTCCACTTTGGAGGATTTCAGTCCTTCTATGATTGAACAACGGTACAACTCGGTCCCATGTTTGGTAAGACTTATTCATTATAGGACCAACAATTTGTATACAATTTGTTCTTGCCATTATGCACGCAGGCTGTGGAATGTAGACTCAGTAATATCAAACCAGCTACAATTCATGGCGCAGGCTGGCATGACACTGCCAAGATGGAGTTTCAAATGTTTGCTGAAAACGCTCCATTCGTTTATATTGACGTGAGAAAGAATTAATGAAAAGCAAATTAATTCCTTCAATATTTATGAACCATGAATGCTTTTTTCTAGATTTTCTCCGTTTCAAAAAGTATAATTTCTGGCAAATTAATTGGACATGACGATCGCAGGGTCGAGCAAAACTTGAATGACAGACTTGTGAACCTAGGGTTTGCAGAACTTACTGAAGAAGCTACTTTTTCACAGGTAATAATTCGTCTTGTTATTGAGATAAGGTTTAAACATAGTCAAATTTTCCAATTATGGTGTTTATAGAATAATCATCGAGCAAGACAGCGTGTCAGCTTACAAGACGCGGACGAACGAATAGCTCACAATAAAGAACAAATAGGAGAGCAACTTGACTTTGATTTTGTTCAGCCAAACATTGATCTTCGGAAATGTGTACGTACTATATATTAAATATGCATTACACTGGTTGTTTGCAACACCAATTTTTTGGCGACTACTATTGATAAAATTGCAGACAAAAACTCTAATCAAAGGTCCTTGGAGTCCGTTGGAATTGGATTTTCAGTCCTTGTGTCACAGCAGTAATACGAAACAAGTCAAAATCGACAACAACAGTGTAAATTCCGTAGTTTTGGACACTGAGCCTACAGCCCCAATTTCTAGATTATTGGTCGCCGGTTATGTTGGTATTCAAGACAGGAGTGGAAGTGTTGTCGCACGGGACACGACGATTATGCCTTCAGTACCTGGCCTTCTGTCCTTAATGGCTATGCTGTTTGCCCCCAAGATTGAGTTGCGCATAGATGTTCGTCAGACGAAATACACGGGGGTACTTTGTGGGCTTGGATCGGCACCACATGAACCTGATCTCCCCATCTACCCCGATCATGACGTGGAAATTATCTTTGATACCGTTATAGATGATGATGACATCGACTCTGTAACTTGATTACTCGCATTATTTTTTTTACTGTCGCAAAAAGGCAGGCATTTCTAACCAAGAATTTGTAATAATTTAGATCAACCGTATTCGCTATCTCATGAACCTTATCATGCGAAAGGATCACAAAAAGCAAGGGGGTGGAACAGTTAACTTGTCGCACTATCAGATGTCTGTGCGAGAAGAACTGTTGAAGCTCCTGCAACGTCGACGCAAGGCTGGAGAGGAGGAGATTTGGCCGCAAGAAGAGTATATGTGGAGTCGGATTGCGGAAAGTTCATTAGTTCCTCCGTCAAGAAATTGTTTCGTGTATGAGCCCAAAGACATATTTGCTCCCCATTACAAGGTTAGGCTGAATGACGATAATGCTGAAAATTGGAGCTGGGGATTTGCGGTGTAGAACCTTGATTTGAATTATTCAAATATTATTTAAAACTCACTAAAATGTAATTCATTTTCAACTTTCTGTACCCACTCATGTTGCATGGATCAACTCTAAATTCCTCTCTTTCTCTTTCTAGATATTATAGATGCTCGCTCATCGTGCCCTTCTTTCGAGCGTGTTGTGTATTATAATTTGTACAGCAATGTACACCCCTCTTGTTTTTTTCTACCTACTTCTTGACCAATAATTGACATTTTTCTTCTTGGACGAGTACGCCGAATCGTTTAAATTAAATAAATCGTGTTAATCAAACATTAAGTTGTAGTAACCTTTGTGGATTTTATGAATATTTAATTGTCATGCTCATAAATGAGTATCATATACATAGTACCTTATCATATTATTTTGATTATAAATAATCAACTACATTAACCTTCAGTCGTTTTTATACTTTGCACACGTCAAAATCAAAGTCTAGTCAGTAAAATATCACACGATACCATTTTTATTAATTGAAGGGTTTTTAATCATTTCACGAAAAAAGTGGTTGGTTAATTCAGAATGAATGATAAAGGAGGAACTTTTATGAGTTTGCAGTTTTTACCAGTCTGGGTGAGGTGTCATGTGGCAGGTTTAGTCCTTATAATCCAGAAGCAGCAGAGCTTTATGTCCATTGTTTACTATGTCTTGGAAGCCCAGCCTGCGAGAGGAGAGAGAGAGAGATAAGAAGTTGCTTGCCAAAAATGTCAACACCTTTGAAAGCCGTCTGGGAATTGGCAACCGTGAGACTTGGAGGTTAACCAGGTCACGGAATCGAGATTTGCCTGCCTTTCCCACAACTACGACTATAAATCGCATTGCCATAAATAGTTTTCGTGGTGGGACTGAGATATAAAAATTGCGAATGTTGTGTCTACCTTATGGTCCACCCTTTCCCCCCGTGAGTTATTATTATTATTGTTATAATGCCTATTTTTGCTACAAACACAAAACTGGTGTGTTGTGTAAATAATAATGCAAGCAGCTCACCGGCTATGTGACACCAACTTGAGAAACAATAACTTGGGTTGACAACTCTCTTCTGGCGAGATGAAAAAGTGGTGGATGCAAAAATGAAAATATTCATTATAAGGAATTTAAGTAACACAATCACATGTTATGATTTATGCATTGTTCAAAATATCATGTAAAGTTGATGCTAAATTGATTATCAATCAAGATGACGATGCTGATGGGGACGGGAATTTATGGGATTCATGTACTCGAGTAAAATTCATGCATGGGTTTCCTTTGACCCACTTGAGACTGTGGACTGACTCGAGACAATTGAACTACATGAAATAAGATCGAGTAACTTAATAATTAAGACGAAATATTGTTCGTCATCCATGTTTGCTTCTTATTTTAGTCTGCCAAATCCCCATAAAGCCATTAAATTGTAAAATTGCAATTTGAAGGTTTCATTCTCCTGATAAAGCTCTACTGTGACCAGCCAGACTGACTCATGTCGTCAAAACGAGACATTTTTTTACATCTTTGTTTCATGCATGTTATTATTTTCCCCTGCTTGCTAACCCTGCTCCAGTTGAGACGAGAAGGCAGGAGGAATGATCGCTTATCGCCTTTAGTAAAGTTAGTTGGTCGCTTATGGTTAACACCATCGCGCAACTTTTTTTTACGACAGACGGATTGCGAACAAAACAAACATTTCCTCACCAACCCTGAGATTAAACAGTTCCTTCTTGTACGCCTTTGTGGGTGAGGGCCAACAAAGTTCGCTCACTATTCATTCTTATTACTTATGTATGTACATATGTACTAAATTCTATTGTGGCAGATTGAGCATGTTGTTCCTCTTCGTGTCTGATCCTCCTGTTCAGATTGCAGTTTAGGTGTTCCTCTTTGTACATTGGAAATGAACAACAGCCATCCATCCATCCAGTAGCAGTTTGGTTGATCTGTTGAACGAGCTGGAATATTGTAATGAGACATTATTATTATGTAGACCTATGTGAAGGGAGGAGGACTGTATGGACCCTGACGAAGATGAATGAAAATCATAATAGTGTGAGCCCAATAATTTTGTCCATAGTTGAGGGGCAAGGTCCCACAACTGGATTTTGAATGTAGGTATTACTAGGTATACGAAATAATCGTCAAATGCAATGGAGGCGAGTGTTGAGCAGCCCTTGACACTGGCACCCAACTACTCAACCTCCTTGTTCCTCTAATTGAATTGAAGCTGTCAAGTGAACAATTGCTTTCGTGCAAGGAATGAACTGGCCGGGTGACATAATAATGTGCTAATCTCTCAGCCATACAACTCCCAGCTTGTCAAACTCTGTTGTTCATATGGAAAGGGTCTCACCAACCCACCGACCTCCTCCTCCAGCCCTTTCATCCACCGTATTCATGTCGGCAGCCTAAATGCTCCGACTATATGTATCCACATATTTACGCATATTCCACATTCGGTTCCGCCAGCCAGACTTAAAAAATTTAAATCCAAGGAAGTGCAATCACAGCATAAGCACATGAAATACGTTTCCATCAGATGGCCATTTTTCACAATTTATAATGAAGAATAATGAAGAATCTGTGCTCAAATCCAACCAGCTCAGCCAGCAATCCACATGAATATTTTTCTTGTTTCCTGAAAATCCTGTATACTTAATTCCAACAATAATGTTTTTACACGGCTCAACACCTCTCAACAAAGGCCAAAGGTGAGAAAAGAGCAGTCAAGATGGGATCAGGATTTAACAAACCATTTCACCCGACGAACCTCAAGAGATGCATGCATTTATTCACGCATTATGCTCTTACCCCAGTAGACTACGGTACATGGGAGCTTGCCAAGGGCTATCCCCACTTACAAATCATAATCCCCTGGTGTGGATTAGTTAGTGCAAATACAAAGAGAGCATATTGCGCATTGTTGTTCTTTCTGCTGCTTGAACTAAAATCCTGATACCACTTGAACAACAAAAGGGGACAACATGCTTGGTTTGTTCTCCTTTGAAATCCTGATAACCCTCGATGAGTGCAGAGAAAGTCGTCTTGTTCATCTCAAAAACTCCGAATACTTTTAATGAGCCATTCTTCACACCATCGGGGAAACACCCCATCGTTTCGATTCAACGCGAGGACGTACCAGTCGACAGAGCTCCCAATTAAGCCCTCACACAAGTACACAGACACACACTTGAGCTCCTTTTAATTAACAGTTGCCAGCGCCATAAAAAGGGAGACCTTAACGATAATTAAGGGCCATTAAGGGATTTGGTTTGTTCCTCCGTTAGCTCATTTGCTCGCGTCGTATTCATGTCACAAGGACGAAAAAGTGAACCCTGAGCAGCGTCCTGGTGGAATATCCTGGTGGATAGGGGTGAGTTCTGCAGGGTCGTTTGACACTTGAGCTGGTCTGTTTGTGTGACTTTGGTAACGCATTGTCTCAAAATCACTACGTATCTCATGTGTAGCTGCCATAGAATAAATAGGAATAACGTTGCCAAACATCTAATTAGGGTTTGTGCAGGGAAGAGGGACTGAATCACGCTGACTTTCCCTCAGAAACAGTTCCTCGGAAACATTCCGAGATTTTCTGCTCGATCAATCCCAATCCTGCCAGAGATACACAACTGGCGGAGAATAGTTGTGTCTGATGACAAGAAGAAGGGCGTGTGGAATTGTCTTAATTTGTTTTCTCAAATAGAGCTGCCCCCCAATTTCCCAGCCAGCCACGAATAAAATAACAGCCGGAATAACGAATCAATGGAATGTATCAAATGTCGCAGCAATGAGTGAATCTGATCTTTGTCCACCTTGCTCGTTGGGGTTGGTTAGTTTCTGTCCGTGCAGTTATCGAACTGGGCTGATTGAAGGGCACCTTTTATTACTTTTCTCATTTGCCATCTAATAACGAATGGCCCAATTAGGGGATGAGTCCGGTAGCAATTTAATCAAGAGATAATCTCATCAGGTTGAGTAGCATGTTGTCAAATGACACTGTACACGGAAGAAAGTGGGACTTTCGAAAGGGCTCTGGCGTGATGGAGAGGGGAGGTTATTATTACATGCATACATACACAAACACTCAATTTGTTCTGCTAATGTTCTCAGTTGTGATTCCGGGTAATAAATTTGATGAAAATCTTGATGCTTTCCCCCTTGAGACCTCATTATTTCATTTCTGGATAAACTGCATCCAATTTGTATCGTAGTCACAGTCACATCTGCTCTTTTTGGCATTTAGTACGAGTTTATTCAGTAGTTTTTGTGTGAAGTTCGGAAATTGATTTAATAACTTTCTTTCACATCTTTCACAGTGGTTGATTCGAGGAGAAAGCAATAATAAGTACACTATGTAAACTCCTGTAGGTTGGGGAATTTGAGATGTTTAAAGAATTTTGCACCATCCAGTTGCAATTTATCTACTTTGGTCTCACCTGCTAATCACCACTTCCGACAGACATGGCATTCATTTTAAGGTGCAGAAAAACATAAAAAATATGGGAAGTTATCCAATGGTCCTCCCATGGACATCACCACATGGATGGGGCGATATTAGATTTTGGCAAATTCTCGCTTTGAAGTTTGAGACTATGCTTCTGATCTCTGCGATTAGATGATGATGAATGGACCCTTGAGCAGTGCAGGCAGGAGTGAGAGAGAGAGTGAAGAATGAGGAAAGAGGCTGCCTCTCCGTTCTTCAGGCCCTGCTAAAGGAATCTTGTGCAAGAGGAACAAGGACAGGTCTCTGGAATCTGGAATTATACTTTGCTTCGTCGTTTCGGCATCAGATTTCCTCTCTCTCCGTCTAAAAAGGCAATAACAAAACTCTGATCTGCTCCTGCTCCTCTCCTTCTGCGTCATTTTCTACATTTTCTCCCCTAAAACATGCACCAAAGAAAATTTGAAAATTCCAAATTGCAATTTATCAGTTTTTTTTTACGAAAGTGTAACCCGATTCGTTTTTTTTTGTGAGAAACACCCATTTTTTAAAGTGATAAATCTCAACGCCTTTTCAAAAAGGCGTTCTTTATAACCAGGCATAGAATGGCGAGAATATGGGTTTGTTCATCTGCATGAGAGAGTCCAAATTCTTGGTCGATTTTCATGTTTGGCTCATTAAAGGACGACGCTGCGTGTAAAATGCAAGCCTTCCTCTGCCATTGTCGTCGTGTGAGAGAGGTGAACAAATTAAATGATTTTGATGCAGAATGGTGACTTGGATGTGAGGAAATAATCCCAAAAGACCTCATCAAATTTGTGAAGAGGACATTAAATTAAAATTACTGGGAGCCTGGTTGAGGGGCTGGCTGGATGGGGAGCGGAGATAAAGGAGGAAACCTGAGCCTTCTCTTTTATCCAGTTCCTCCAACTTGAGCGCATCATGAGGGGCATAGAAAAGTAGAGGCTTTCGAGAGCATGTAAATCTTTGATGCTCTTCCATTTGATGAGATAATGATATCCGCGAGCTCATGGCGTAGCTGGGCTGAGCTTTCTCCAGCCCAAAACCAACCAACCTCCCGAGTCTCCGCCCACTCCGACGACGACAACACCACTTCTCTCCCCTGGACAACCACCACCACTTGGACGCCCTGCTCCATTCAACGGCGAAATAGGGTCCACACAAACCATGTCACCACTTGCCGCACATTCTACAACGTGAGAGCATGGTCAATTTCACATCAGCGCACAATACGGGCCTGTTTCCTTCAACAGTTTTCCAGGAGTGGGTGCTCTGGGAAGGAACGAATGACACTCGTTGAGACGACTACGTACTTTCCTCCCGTTCTGGGAACCACGTACGAGTTGTGGTAGTGACAAAGTGATGCTAGTCGGTTGGTTGGTGGCTATATGGATGTGTTTCTTGGTCCTCCAAATATCTTGAGGATGGTTCTGGAGAAAAAGTCGGAAATGTACTTGATCCGTCAACAAGTGGTCTCCGTCTCACATTCCCAACTTGGCCATTGTTCTGCTGACATGACACGACTCCACCACTCGACACTCTCTTACATTCCGCTAGGACGAGATTACATTTCAAAATAGTACCCAAATCAGTTTACACTCTCACCTCCAGCAACTCACAACTCCATATCCAGCAGCAGAAGCAGCAGAAGCAGTGTGTGCTCAGTTTACAACTTGGGACGACAAAAGTAATTCAAGCCGTGAAAAGTTTCAATAAGTCGCGAAACAAAACAGTGGGTGAAAGTGGTCATTCGAATCAATCCTCAACTCCCCATCAGCATCAGCATCCTCATTGACTGAGATCTGCTTACAACTAGAAAAAGTTTCACGGAGTTTTGTATAGAAAATAAAATAGAGGAAGGTACGATTGATCGATTCAGCGTTTCTCCAGTCATTGGGGCCAAATGAGACTCCCGATGAAAACGGGTGGTCGAGACACCCACGAGCAGCACCAGGCCCCCACCACGACCACCCCTCGATGTGCTGACATCATGGATCGCGAGGATCAAGGGGATCTCATCATCGACGAGTCTGGGGGGCAAGGTGAGATTTCTCCAGATAACCAGCCCCACTCTGTGTACCCAACAACAACCCCCACGCCCACGAGTGCTCCCTCCCCGTACAGTGAGAGCGAGGGAGGTCTCGTCCGCCCCCACTCTAGTCCCACCCCTTCGTCCACCACGTCCTACGAGCAGCTCGGTCACAACTTCGCCAAACCCTCGTCCTCTGCCCTTTCCCTCCTCGCCAACTCGAGAAAACAGGCAGCAGCGGCGGCGGCGGCGGCGTCCTCCCTGAGATACCACCCCTACTTTCGAAAGGTCATTGAGGACAACAACAACAAGGACGACTTCCCCTACGGAGGAAACCCATCTAACTCGCTCGTGCATTCCAACGGAATCTGGACCCCTTCGACCATGATCTCCTCCTCCTCCTCCTCTGCCCACTCCTCCAGCAGCACCAACAGTTATGCCAACTCTGGAGCCTATGTTGAGGACTTTAGCACCTCCCCCCAACAGCTCCAAGGCGGCGGCCCCACTTCGTCCCCAAACGAACTAAGCGTTCCCAATTCTGGGGAAAGCAACGTGGCCAACAGCAATATGGCCATGTTGCGAGGAAGCTTGGCAGCCGGCTATCTGTACGACATGACCGTCAATAGCTCACACCAACAACAGGTCAGCAGCAACAGCAACAACTATCACCACCACACCCACAACAATACTCAGCACCACCAGCAGCACCAGCAACAGCAGCATCAGCAGCATTCTCACCAATACAAAGTGGAGCAATCGCCATCTCCCACGCGGCCATATCTGCTCCCACACCATGGGAGCGATGGGGGTGGAGAAAGTCCCATCATGCCGGAAATCCACGTCAAGAATGCCTTCTTCACTCAGGACAAGGTCAGCATTCTCCCCACTTTGCACCCCCACCATATTTCACCATGTACATAAGTAGGCTGGTGAATTTTGCAGGTGGACACATTGTGCGACGTGATGCTGCGAGACAGGAACTACATGATGCTGGAATCCATCCTGAACGGTTTGTCCAAGGACATTCACGACTCTGAGAACGTGCTGAGAGCCCGAGCAGCCGTCGCCTGGTTCAACGGCAACTACAATCTCCTCTACAATATCCTCGACTCGCGCGTCTTCTCGTCCAGGTAATACTTTTGCAATATCTTTGACCAGACTTTAGAGACGAGTTCTGATTAGCCAGCCTCAATCAAGAGCGCATATTTAGAGGTTCATTTTTGTTGATTGGCAGGCACCACAAGGAGCTGCAGGACTTGTACCAAAGTGCGAGGTACTCGGAGGCAGGGAAAGTGCGGGGCAGGTCGCTGGGTGCAGTGGACAAGTATCGCATTCGGAGAAAGTACTCCTTACCTCGCACCATTTGGGATGGCGAGTCGACAAGCTACACGTTCAAGGATCGTGATCGCAAGATGCTTATCGAAGCTTATCGACGATGTCAGTATCCAAACGGGGAGATAAAAAAGGAGCTACAACTTCTTACTGGGTTGGACAAGAAGCAAATTGACAACTGGTTTAAAAACAGGTCGGTTGTACTGTCATAATTATTATGTTATACGCGAATTTGCACATTAACTTTCGATTGATTGAGTTACTTGGAGTGTTGTGTTGTGAACTAACTTTCAATGACTATTTTTTTAGGAGGCAGAGAGATCGACCTCACGATCAAAAGTAAGTTAACCATTTGTTCCCTGCTCATTCTTTGCCCACCGCGACTTTGCCTCCCGATTACGAGAATGCTGACCTAGTATTCCACATTCGTACTTGAATAATAACAACACCACACACACTCTCTCTTCAGAATCTCTCTTGTCATCGTCTCCAGACGTGCATACGTAGATAAATATGTGTAGTTAGTTATGTGCTTCAGCTTGAACTTCAACTTTGAAAGCTCAATTCCATTGGCTTTTCGCAATTTGTTACCGTAAGCACAACAATGGCTGGATGAATTCAAAAATATTTTGATTCATAAAAATTTGCGTGCTTTGCTAGCTGTACACAATGCAGGCTCAAATTACTCGTAAAATTCTCACACTCACGAGTCTCAATTCTGTGATGGTGCATAGAATAAAAAAATTGGCCACATTTTCGCTTGGAATTTGATGCCACCATAATTGAGAATGTATTTACTTAATTTCATCAATCGTAACGACGTGACGATGAAGGGATGACCTTCACTCACTCCGATTACACAACGAGCAACATGGAGAGCTTCGATTTCAGAGTGGGGTAACTCAAGCCTCCTTCGATCGCCTCTCGTTTGTATACTTGTAAAACAGCATCCAACGTCGTCATAATTTCGCTCCGCTTGGGTCGAAAGTGACAGCGACACATGTCCACGAGGATGGATGGCTGGATGGCGGAGTAGGATATGTGATAAGAGAGGAAGAAGAAGAAGGATCTCCTCCTCGCATTTCATTCATTGAGAGAGTGAGGACAAAAATGAGCCTTAAACGAGGTTCAGGCAGGGGTACTTTTATGCGTTCTTGTACAGGACGATAGTGTCGGTCGGTTCCCTTTCTTCCTCTCCTGTGTAGCAGTCAGTGGGTGTTGTCAACCATGATCTATGAGGTGAACCACCACCACACATGCATCGACTGCTACTATTTCGAATCCTACTTCTGAAACGATTCTAGGCCCAAGACCGGTGCAGCATGGCCAAAAGACATGAAGGGTTCCCTCTAAATATGCATGATCTGTGGCCGTGCACTCAAATTTTGCACCATTTTTTTGGACCTCGATCGATCGTGTCTTTTTAAATTCATAGTCTGCGGATCGGCATACTTTCTCCACGACCTGGCTACAACTTTGTCAAAGACTTATTTTCTTAATTAAATTATCGAATGTACATGCGTCATGTGTAGTACTTATGTAGAACATTTCATAAAAAAGCAAAACCGGACAATTATGGAAGGGCACAAAAGCCCTTAAAATCAACAACTTGCTCAGTGGCCACATGTGGAACCCATACGATACAAATTCACAAACGCTTTGCGGGTTCTTGGTCGTTTCTTTCGTCCTCTGTCCTTTTTCGGGGTTCGGTTTGGTTGGAAATTGTGTGTGCGAATGATTAATGGGCCTTCAAGCCCTTCCACTGTACGAGTCCCTTGATTAGCCCAATTGCCGACACTTGGAGGCTTTGCCACTGCCCAAATTAACAAAGTGTAACTGATACGACGGCATGACCACTGCTCCTCTCTTATCGAGGCAGGCATGGTTATTTTTAAAGTGCTCTTGGCTACCCCTCCCTCCCCCTCCATCCAGTCCTTACGAGCTCTAGCTAGCTGGTGGTTGTCATGTGAGGGTGATCCTGGTGTTCCTGGTTTCCAGGAAAAGTCCAACTCCACAAGAGCACGATCATCACTTAATGCCCAACTTATGAAGGATTCCTTTGTCCACCAATGTACTGCACTTTCCTCGTCAAGTGCACGCACATTGTGAATTTGATGAAACTACATATTTACCGAATTTTGTCATTGTCAACTTGCCATCGCAAGATTACTTCTGCGACCAATTGCCCTTGTCAGATAAAAAACATTCGAAAAACATTGGTTTGAAATTCCTTTAGCAAAAGCTGGTCGTATCGGTCAATTTGAGTACTAGCAATGTGCGAATTTTTTTCAGCTAATCCAAAGTCAGAGAGTAGGGGGCAAAGGTGAGGGTCAGAGTAATAACAATCCACATGCCACAGGCTGGGCAGATTGGATAAGGGAAATACATACATAGAAAAAGGCGGCGTCAGCAGAAGCAGAAGTGAGCGTGTGAAACAAGTCGTTAGTGTTAAAATATTTCTGTCTTGGTCCCTTATGACATACTCGCACCACTCGACACCATTATTTGCCTGTGAATACTTATCACAAGAATCAGCACCATTTATGACCATTAATCTCGCAAATGTGAAATTGTTCCGATCGGTTGCGAACATTAAAATATTTTGCAATATTTTTTATGTCAACGCTTATTTTTATCTCTTCTCCTTTATGACCGGATCCAGGCTTTGAGGCTCCAGCTGAAATCTCTTGCTGGATTGAAATACTTTTCTTGTAACCTTGTCGAGAGTGCAGAGATCATGTACAAAAGTCGCCACCAATGCTCTGCTGGTTCTTGTTTAATGGTTAACAACACAAACTCGTGATAAGTCATGTCTCGTTGTCCGTTCAACAATTAGCGATTCTTGATAAGCGCGGACTAGAGATTACTTACGTTGTATATCTACATGTACGTTTCCTAAGTGTTATTCAATGGATATAAACTGTAATCGCCGAGTCAAAGAAATATCTACAGATTATGTACATTACACATGCAGTGCTGCTAAAACATACGTGAAGATTACTCAGAAAAGTAACCCAATTGTGTCAAATTGTATTTTAAGTGTGGAGTGTGGTCATAAAGGAAGTTTGTAATGTGGATCATTTAGCGAGGCATCAAATTCACTTTTCTCTCATCACTCGTATTCCATATTCATTCTAATTGCGCATATAAAAGTGGGAGACAGCCTTGTAAAATTTGACACCGAGAGCATTCCAATAAATTCCGAAAAAGACGTAACACTTTTCAGTGATTGGAAAAAATGGCACTCCGTCAAGTGTTTTTCCAAGATGGATGAGTAATAATAAAAAAATGACCGTCTTTGCCACTCGTACAATTTTGTTTAATAGTCCAACTCTTAACTATTTAGAAAAGATGATGAGTCGTTCGTGCTTAATCACCTAAACGTGTCTAATCCCTAGAGAAATAAATACTTTAATCGCTTCGCTTAATTTTACGATCTGCTTCAGTAGCACACATTTGCAAACATTCTGTAGAATTGTTGTCTTATCAAAATATTTCGTGTTGTTTACTTCAAGGCCACGGAAAGCCAATAAGATGCATCATCATCCCCCGGGAGACGGTGGGGGGCTTGTGATGACGCCAGCCTCGTCGGCAGGGAGTGGTTCCACCCTCATCTATGCCAACATGTCCTACCAGTCCATGGGGGAGGACAGCATGGACGTCAAGTACAACCCCTACAACAGCAACATGGGGCCCACGCCCACACTGGCACAGATCAAATCTTACAATGAGATGGCCAACTCTCCAGCCCCCTCGCCAGTCATCACCCAAAAGAAGACCAATAAACGGTCACATAAGAACAATTCGACGGCCTGGGCCAAAGATGCGGCTGCTCTGGTTGGCGAAAAGTTGGGGAAGCGAAAGCGGGTGAAAGCATCCGCCACCACCACCGCCACTTTGGGAGGGGATGGAGTTACCACGAGCGGAGAAAGCCATCATCCCTACGCAGCATCCTACTCGGATCTCTACAACGGGGGAGGGATCAGCGGTCGGAAGGTGAACACGATCGTCGTGAATGTGGGGGGCAGTGGGGGGACGGGTGCTGAGGACGAGGACGACAATAGCAACCCCTCTTCTTTCCATCAGCAGGGCGGTCACCACCACCACCACCAGAACCAGCAGCAACAGTACTCTGGGAGCTGCAGCACCCTCATGTTGAACCACCACCACCACCACCATCAGGGGGGACTTGCAGGGATGGGTGTGGCGATGGGATGGCCTGGGTGGCAAACGTCGTCGTCCTCGTCCATGGGGGCTGCGGGGTCGACGGAATCCTCGGGCTACTCCCCAATGACCATCCTTCCCAGTCTGGCAGCCAGCTTTAACCACCCCTCAGCCCATCACCACCATGCGATGAACGTTCTCAACTCGGAGGCACGGATTCAAGTCCAGGCGTAAAACGAATCAGTTAATACAGATCATACTTTTTTGGCATAATACTAATTATCTCCAGAAATTGCCAGTTGATTTTGCGGAATCGGCATCATACGCAAAATACAGATTACATAAGCACAGTTCAATAATGCATGCATTCAAATCTCGGTTTCATATTGTGTTTTATAAGCTTTAACCTCAAAATCAAAATCAAAATAAACAATAGGTCCAACCCCCTCCTATGATGCATTATTTTACTCTTTTGCCCTGTATTTCGAGATGCAGTAAAACAATAATAATGTTGTAATTCTAGACGCATCCAACCCAACCACCATTAGCTACACACCTATGTTACGGGAAGGCTTGATAAGTAATCGTAAAAGTTTGCATGCCCAAAACTCAAATGCATAAAGCAGAGAAGGAGTTGTCAGTGATGATGAACATGATAATTACATTGCTTTCTGGATTAGGAAGTGTTCACAGTTTTAGCCAGTAAAGTCGCCTCACAAATCACAATGAAAGTGAAGATGAAAATGAATAAACTCACATGGAGTGGACTTTGCAGAAACATAATAATGAACGCCTAAGGTCGGCTGGCGACTCAATAAATTCGCCCTTGAGAAACACCCACGACGAACCCCATTTCCTCCCAGTGTAGCTTTTCAATTAATTGAGCACGTGACTAATCACACACATTTAATTGTAATTAGAACTATGGGTCATCTTTGTTAGTGCAATATTATTGACCATCATCATCATCACATTAGCATTTATTCAAGTCTTTATCAGTATAGATTTATTGTAACTACTAAATAATTTTATGGGCAATGATAATATTTTTGCTTGGCTTGAGAGATACGAAAGGAAACAAATTGCTGATGCTTATTATTTTAATTGATTTTTTTATTATTAAACTCTTCCTCCAACGTCTCAGCTACAAAATAAGTCAGTTATTATTGTAAATTATTGTTACAAAATGAGCAGAATATAATGTTATACTGATATTCATGATGATGAGATACGGAAGAATAATTATTGTGATTGTGTTGATATCTGTTGTAATTTCGTACTTCCATAAAATTTTCTCTGCCAATCATCTGCATAAATAATTACGTTTGCCTGCATTCATTTCCTCCTGACGATTCAAATAATAATGTTTATCATGCGGGATTTCAGCACCGTCCTCACCATTGGAATAATCCAATACAAATAAATATGAGTATTATATTTTACGAGATAATATAAGCCCTCTCCTACACGATAAATTGTAAACTATCTTTTTAAGCATGTACATTTTCTCATAAATCTCATCAATAATTTAAAATCACTTGAACGAATAAGCATAACACTCAACAATCAAATCACACAGTCGTAGATACTAATTATGCAATTCACACTCCAATGCATATTCGCACAGGCATATTCAACCATCTACTTACATATTATACTAGGGCTAACAAATCCGATAAATCCGTTTGTATCCGTTAGCATGTAAATCCGGTTTACATGTAAATCGGGGTTTACACGTTAATGCATTCACCTACCTAAATACAAATGGATTTCGGGTTTGTCTATACACATTGGTGGCGTGGTTTTGCATGTAATTGTCAGTACAACTAATGGAAGACAGTGTTTGTGGCCACTATACATAATGTATTTAATTAATTAATTAAGTACAAGGGTCATTCGTGCACCATTCTCTTCGTGATATTTTCCCTTCTCGTTCAAAACAGTGAAAGAAGTCAAGTTTTCGTTGAGAATTGCATTTTTTGAGTCGAGGGGACGTTGTTGTTCTCGAGATTCCTCATTCCATCGTGTCGTACTCGATCTTCTTGACCTTGACGTACCGATAGCCCCCGTAGCCACCAATCGTGCCCAGGACGGCGAGGGCCAGGACGCTCCCCACCACCAAGGGCACCGTCTCATCCTTCCGCCCTGCCTCCTCAGAACATTTGAACGCTGCAATTCATAAATTATGTACATGTCCATGTAGTCCTTGCGAACCAAGGTGTGCACATGCCAAATAACTAAATAATCCTCAAACTGACCGTCTCCGTACTGTCGATGTGTCATGGCAGCAAAAGGCTGAATTTGGAACCGGGTGAGTCTGACAGTGACCCTGGCAGCCCTCTTGTCATCGTAGAGTTTGACATCTTTCGCCATGTTGCACGTGTAGGACCGTCCAATGGGGGTGAGGAAGAGGGTGAGTGGATCCGCGGAGTGAACTTGTTGAAATTGTCCAGCATAGTCTGTGATGAATGAGACAGAAATTCCCCTTTGATATTTAAGCAAGAATTGAGCAAATATCTCAAGAAATGATAGGAATAATGGGTCACACTTTTCAACAAAACATCGGCAGGCGTGGGAGAACCAGTTTATGAACTATTCCGCACTCTCTAAAAGATCCCTTGTTGCGTGGCTCGCATGATTAAAATTGGACAAAGGTTCATGAGCTTGCAATCCTGGAGTGATGATTACGCAAATTACTACAATTATTATGTTTCTTTTAGTGGTGATGGAAAATTAACTTCTTTGCAACGTCAAGATTTCGAGTGTATACAGAAAAAAACATATGCAAATGTATATCAGGAGAGGACCTGTAGTTATTTCAATAGTTTACCTTGAGTCGCATTGCCAAACGCTTTGTCTGAGGTGTTGTAGCTGAGTTGGATGTCATCCACGTAATAGGCATCGCTCACTCGGGACTGCACAAAGTCAGAGTTTACAAAGTGTACATAATCATGGCGTAAATCAGGAAACCTTTGCAAGTGAGCAGTTGGTTGTATACCTTTTGGAAGTGCCAGGCGAATTTGAAGGTGCCCCAAGTGAGGGTCATTTTGGAGTCCTCGCCACTCCCACAACTCCCCTTGGACACTGCCGACTTTGGAACTGATATCGTGATTTTCTGCCAGCCAGGTAATTATTTAGTACAAATCGATTCAAGTGCACATATTTAAGCATGAGCTTATGCCGACTAATAAAATTGAATGACACTGGAGTGCGTACCTTGTTCCCAGTGCGTTTGGGCTCTATGATGAGCTTCATGTTCATCCTCACAAGAACGCAAGGCATGCTCTGACCGTCGTACACAATGTACTCTGTCGGTGGGGGTTCTGGCGTTGTCGTCGGTGCAACGCCAGATTCTCCCAGCACTCCTCCTGCAAAATCCACAATTATGACATCCATCCATCCATCCATATATTTCCCACTAGAGTTCGTTCTGATCTACCGTGCTCACCAGAAAAGATGGAACCCCCTCCAATTTCTGCATCCTATATCAACAACATCAATATTGGTCTTATGTAACACATTTATCTTGAAAATGCATACCTACTCTTAATATTTAGTTACTGTTAAGCTTGCAAGTGTGGTTACCTGAGCGGTGCAGAGGTATACGAGACTGGAACACACGAAAAAACACAATTTCGACAGGGACACAGCTAGCGACATACTTTTTCTGTAGCCACGCACTCCCACTACACGATGCTGGAGAGGATTTGACTCTTGGCACCAGCTCCTCTGCAAATGGGTCAATTTATTCTCAGGGGCAGATCTAATGTCACCGTCGTCAGTTATTAGTTAACTATTAGTTATTAGTTATTAGTTAGTTATTATTAGCTCATATTTCCACCAAGCAGGTTGACGGCTAGAAGAGGTGTTGGTTGGTTCCGAGGATATTAGTGTGACAAGGTCCATATACATACGTACCGCACATGAGAACGGGTGGCACATTCGTAGGTTGGGGCTGCTGCTGCTGGTGAAAGCAAAAAGACTTTCCCCTCGCGCAGTCAGCCACTTCCCGACTCGAACTTTCTCCGGGATGCACTCGACCCACAGGATTAGATCAATATTTGAATGAATCCCAATCCCACAACTTTGTGCACATTATCAACGAACCATCATGCCGCATTTTCGCTACAACAATGAAAGCACGAAAGATGCAGATACAAGGCGGATGTACGTATATGCATATGTACATATAGCCTGATCGTGAGTGCAGCTCATCAGTTCACAGGTATTTATTCAATCGAATGCAATGTAAAATTACAGATTTATTCGCCTTCTTAAGGATACAAAACGCACGCTCATTCATACACAAAAGCAGAATGTATGTACATAACTATATTTATTTACTATAATTTTTTCATATCACTCGTGAAGTGGAAAGTACACCTGCATTAATTCCCGATAAACTTCTAGATCCTCTGCCCGATGAATTGCAAAGCACACTCTGTCCACATCGTCGGGATGTCTGTCCAAGAATTTTCGAACGCAATCCAGCGCAATGTGAGCAGCCTGTTCGGCAGGGAAGCCATTGGTTTGTGTAGAAATGCAAGGAAATGCCTAAGAATATCTACAATTTCATGGCTGTTCTCTCTCGCTGATAGTAATTTTAAAATTCTTGTGACTAAATTGAGTGACATACGATCGTCTTCAAACTGTTCAGGAGCATCAGGTTGAGACAACTTACGTAGCAGGCTGTCAACTGTAGGGTGGTGACCAACAGGTCCCACAGTATGGATGACATCTGCACGTTCAAATAATTTCAAACCAGGATATATGGAAAGTTTGCGGTATTGAGTACATTATTTTGAGTATGTACATTTGGCAGGGAGCCTGTAACCTCCAGTGATTTTTGCCTCCCCGATGTCACAACCACGAAGCGTCTTGCACTCCAACATTAGCTCTTTTCCTGCCGCCAAGTGAACTATTTTGTCACCTTGAACAAGTAATATCGGGTCAAATCCATCTCTCAAATAATCCTAATGAACTTTTGTACATTCTCCTCCCGTTCCCATCATGTCCAGCGATGTGGGATTGACAATTGCATCGAGTTCAACTGCAACGATGTTGCCCTGTCCCATTGTCACTCGGTAGTTGACGGGGAACTTCAGAGGATACTTTCTCTTCTCTGCAAAAACGTGGAAAACAAGGGTGCAACGTGACTTGATGATTTGCTTGAGACGCACGACTCACGACTAGTGGGTGGGATCCTCATATGCTCAAAGTACACTGGCCAAGGGCGAATCCTGTCCAGGTCGAGATAATTCCCCTTCACAAAGTATTGCTGGCGTTTCTCATCAATGTCCATGTGGAGGTATTTCTCTGCCAATGTCAAATCGCAGCTCAGTTTGTCATAAGTGGCATAAGTTTCATCCTGCATGTTTAAGTAGTAACTTTTCACCTTTCACGGGTCTCCAACTTTCGTCGTACACTTTCACCGTGGCTCGATGAGAACTGGAATGGAACGTTCTCTGGGAACAAGAGTCAGTCGCTTGAGAATAGGACCATCTCATTTTTCCCCTCGCCCATGAGCACAATTTCTTTACTGACATCATCTGACTGAATCCAATCGTCATAATATTTTCTAATATCTGCACTGTATTAAAATGCCTTTTAAGATCAGCAAATTTCGAGGAATTGACACAAGTTGATACATTACCCTAGCAACTTTGACAAGCTCTATTCCATATAATATCAAAATATCAATCTAAAATTTCAGATTTTGATATCAGTGAATATTAGCAAACTCTTGTCTCAACATGCCCAAAACGACCCCACCACCACCTGCCATCTCCCACCGGAGCATCTCGTGGAGGACCCGGTCCACATCCAGATGCGAGATGGTGCGAGATGCATCCTTTTGAGCCCCTCGAGTGGGAGTGGCTACCGACGCTGCCCATCCACCCATTTCGACACGCCTCGACATTTTTCGACCTGGCGAATACTACCTTCTTAAAATTACTTGTAGCTCTTATTAAAGTTATATTAGTTACATTGGGTACTTTGCCTCGAGAAGGACGAGTTTGATGAATGTGTGTGTGTGTTATTGCATGGAATGCATATAGACGAGTCAGTTGAACCAGTGTGTTTGGGAACGGGCCGGGCATTTATCTCGCAGGCCACTAACTAATTGGGGTAAGCAAACTTTGCGATCGTCGTCGTCGTCGTCCTGACCTCGCTCGATGCCAAAACAATTCCTCCTCCCACCCTTCTTCGTCCTCCTTCTCCAACTACTTGCATCTTTGTTGGAAAAAAATATCCTCTCCTGGTTTAATTGACAATTAGCTAACTAATTTTTAAAAAAGTTAATTTAAAGGGACAGGAATAAGTTTTTGTAACTGGGATTGATTTTCAGAACGAATAAGGTATTAGTTGACAGGTGGTTGGTTGATTGAGCAATTCTTAGATTTGTAACAAATCATTGTTTTGAGTGGAATGAGTTGAATAATATTTACAATCGATTGTGTTGCAGTAAGTTCGTATAGATTTTCACAATTCGCTTTACCATTGTATTATATAGGTTGAGTTGTTGAATTTGTATTTTTAAATTGTACGTTTTTTAATATATAATGATAAATCTAAAAATGAATGATTAATTGTTCGTTTCAGGCGTGGAGGTTATAACCAGTTCCTCCCACAGTAATTGGGCCAACGACCTTAAGTGACGAGAATAACTATATTTACAAGAAATTTATTGGACATAACGGCACACAAAATGTCGAAAAATAGGAAAAGTGGCGAAGAATGATGTGTACTACATAGAATTGTGACAGTTATGGCCTGCCAAAGCTTGGGAACAACTCCTCCTCATATTGACGAGGTTTAAAGTTTCGGGTGAGTAAATGGAATGCGTAATTAAGCCGCTAGACACTAGATTGTCGAAAGTGATGAAGGTGCACTAATTAACTGTGTTTACTTTGTAGACGATTGAGATGACTACTAAAGCAGAGTACTAAAGTCAGAGATGTATTGATTCAACAACAATAATATCACCTTTCTTGGTGGAATAAGTTGCAAATTTATTAGAATCATTTTAATGGATAAGTAAGAGGAAGATATTCTGGATATTGACCACTTTTCACACCGTTTTATCCCTTCCTCCCTCGAGTCCCCACTTCTTTAAATTGCTGGCCATTTATATCATTCAGAAGACTCCAGCAGAGATTGTGCTTCATCCATCCTTCATAATTCTTGATCACCACTGACGACAATTTTTTTATCGGGCTTTGAATCTTGATCATGTCAAGTATGAGGACCACACTTGCAACGGTCCCTGAATCTCTACCTGCTGATCACATCACTCCAACCACCAAGGTAAGCAATCCTTTCATTTTTTGTCATTAAATTGCTAACGATCACATCAGCATTAAAGTTTCCAAAATTTCTTATTTTCCCTGTCTGTCATTATTCTGACGTAAAGTGTCCAACAGTTTTCTTTCGATATGTTCGTCATTGACACGTGACTCATTCCTCTATGCATTTTAATCTAAAAATATAGTCTATGAATACTAGTTATCGTTGACATTGTCTGATGATGCATATGGTCACGGCATGATCATCAAGTAAATAGTGGTTCATACTCAATTCATGATTATAATTCATGATAATTGCCTATCCGCGTCGGGTACTAGTCATTAGCCTCGTTTGTTTCTTCGCAATATTATTATGTTTCCAAGAAATGTTTGGTTTCCTCCACCCTTCCGGACTCAGAGAGAGAGAAATGAATAAGAAAACCATGTCCATTATGGCATTTTCCTTGTTAGGTCGATCGAATTACTTCTTTTTGTGAGTGTCGATATGAAACATCCGTCCGTCCTCGCGTCTTGGGGCCGGCTGGAGTCGCTGGAGAAAAATAAATAGAAATAAGTATTCATGAGATGTATGGAATTCTCTTCAACGCAGCTCTTAAATGTACTCGTGATGATTCTGATTATGCTGACGAGTTTCATTTACATTTGTTCCACTTGGTTGGGTTAAATGATTATGTATTATGCATTAGTTAAAATATGCATTAATAAAGCAGAAAAGTTTACGGATAAAAAACACTGGAGCTCAAGTACAAAATACAATACAGCAGCAGCGTACCGGGTTGTCTTGCGTATTATAGTTTATCCATCATAAATAATCGTGAACCTATGACTTGCCTGACTTTATAATCATATGCAAGATGCGATGGGCTGCTTCTTCAATGCGTCGTATTGTTTCTTCCTTGGATATTCTTGATAATAAATGGTTTCCAGTTTTGGTGCCAAACCACTTAACATTAATAATGTACATGTTGTTGTTTGGTCGTCGAGTTTGACGTAAAAGGTTTTGCCATCAGCTAAACTGATTGTTGGTGGTGACATGGCATACACCAAGTAAATCTGAAACGGTATTCAGTGTCCTCGTCGTTCGTTTACATAATAATATAAGTGCAAAATTCCAAGGCTTCTTGTCTTCTCTGCGCATTTCAAATTCGATTCAGTTTCCTGGTGGAACAAATCTTGAAAAATTGTGACCAAACGGCGAATGAATGAATTTGCTGTTTCATTAAAATATTTTGCTGTGCATTTGCAAAAGTTTTTCTTAGCAGATATAAGATTTAGATGATCGCCACTCTATGGATCCATTCAATTGTTCATATGACATGCAAATCCATAGGATAAGAGACGGGGCGTTATTTTTATTTTCGCTTGTTTAAAAACGACTCGAGAAATTCGTGATGAATTATTATTTCAATTTCGCACAACTCTCGTCATGTCGAATTACACGTAGGCTATGGTCTTCTACTTAATGCAGCCATTATATATCGGTATTCATCCATCCATCCATCCGCCCATCTCAAGTTTCAATTATTCAGACTGAAAATCTTGGGTGTCATATTTCAAACTTTCTTTGACATGTTCTTTCAATAATGTTATGTAACATTTTGTACTCAGACTGATCCTGAGTACGACAACCTTGAACTATGCAATGTTACAATGTCACTAATTATTAATCCGGATAAACAGAAATACTAGTTGAACTGGTCAGAATATGATCAGCTAAAAATTGCATACAATTTACATTGGTTAAATTATACAGTTTCCGTTTCTGTTGTGAGCTAACCCTTCCAACTGACAACGAGACCACGACCCGATGGTACCCACTTCCTTTTTGTGTATTCACTTCACTTTTATGTTTTTGTCGAGTTACGTCATATGCCTGGATTGTCTCCTTGCTAATCGCATCAAAATCCTTTGTATGTTTGTAGTAAGCCAAGTATAATGCTGCAATATTCAGAGAATGTTATCTTTTACATCAAATGGTAGTGATGAAATGATCTTGTCGTTGAATCAGCAGCCTCGTATGCAAACCTACAATTTAAAATTTTGTTTAGCTGTACTAGTTTTATCATATCAATTATTGCGTGGATAGAATGGACGCTTCAGTCTTGTTTTGGGATATGATGCGCTTACTTTAGTAGTAGAGACTGCTAATAAAGACGCCACACTGAGGATTATCTAACCCAACCTAAAGTGCCTACGTATTGTGGCTGGGTGACTACCCCTGCATTTTGAACATAGTACCACAAAAGTAATAATAATAACGTAGTACCTAATTAATTGTTATAGATATACGCCTGTGATTTGGTGGTAGTCAGTTCTTGATTTAATTGGTTTTTCCCATGCATTAGGAAAAAAATCCCCGTTACCCGTTATTTCAAATGTTTTGGGTTACAAGGAAAAAGAGACGAGGCTCAGGATTCGGTTCGCTCGCTACATATTGTTCGAAACAAAAAGTGTGCGTGTGTGTTATTACTACATAAATATTACGGTGAGTATGAGATATTTGAGAATGCACTGCATTCTATACAGCAAGAGTATAGAGAATCAGTTTTATAGCGGTTGGTTTTGGTAGGGGCAATAAGTTAGCGTCGTTTTTAGTGAGGTTTGTTAACCAAAGTGTAAGGCCAGTTATATGATATTCCCAGTAATACCAGCTATGCTCTCAAAACAACACAAACGGGAGAGTTATTAATAATAATAGAATAGTGAGATAATTGGCGAAATCAGAGCAGAACAAATAGTCGGACTTGTCATTAGTGAGATTATATACCACACTGCAATGCATCAAATGCACGGTTTGAAACTGTACGGCTACTCGAACACCATAAGATACATATAATTATGCAGGGATACAACGTGTTGCACACCAACCACAACAACAATATTAAAAGTTTAAAAGTCGACATGATTAAATGCCATCCAATCAAGCTAGGCTTACGGTTGTTGTTTCATTTGCAATCATAATCATCATCATCGTAAGACTGACACACATGCATTATTAGCTAACGCATACTGTTATTTATGATCGGCTTGACTGCTATGTACAAGCGAGTGAGGAGAGTGAAAAGAAGTTTGCGAAATTGTTGGCGTTGTATCCTACAACTTGTAGGATGTGAGCAGAATAGTGGTGTATTGAATTGACTGTAGCGGTGGTGGTGTGGTCTGCCATATGAATGATTAATAAATGGGAACATGTGCATTCTCATTCTTCTTCATGACAGAAAAGGCTTTGCTTGGATATTCGTCAAGGTTTT